TAGGAGGTATATTGTATTGAAGGCAGCAAAATGTGTGGTTCAAGAAAATAACCATACCCCACCATGGAGGAAGTCCAAAAATTATTCCCAAGGGGGGGGTTGTCAAAGGAAAACAAAATGACAGGGGGGTTGGGGGGGACTTTTTTTCAGATTTCCTCCATTGTGGGGTATGGAAAATTTCTGGGACCACACGTCAGTTCTAAAATAATACTTACCACTGATGTTTTCATTCATTATGAGATGAAGTATTTGAACAAAAGAATCGTCACTTCCCTACAAAGTCAACACAAAAGTGAGTTAAAGGGCTGGTTGTTTATTACCTGGGAGGGGGGGACTACAGTGTCTTGAATAAAACCAAGAATGCAAATTTGGCACCAAACACAAACAACACAAATCACCATGAAATTTTAAATCAGCCCCCTCATTGCAAGCACTTAGATGTTATTGACCCCTCTACCAAATGATGAAAGGAGTTGCTATTTTTAGAAATGACCCCCTCAAAAATATACGTTTTTGAATATTTTTGAATAAGTGACCCCCTAGCAAGTGAGCCAGCCACCCTTCTTAGGTAATGAACAACTAACCCCTACATTGATTTAAATTTCTTTACATATTTGCAGACTATTCCGAGCCCATCCCACACGGCTTACAGCCTCATCTATCATATATTGCAGACTGTTGATTGTTTAGCAAAGTATACCAAGACCATTGCAATATTTGCAAACAAGGCACACTTACATTGAGCCATGCTTCGGATATGCTGTCATCCATTTCCTTTCTTAAATAAGCTTCTTCATCACTGGAATCGTCCTTGGAAAAAGAGAAGCTAATTAAGACAAACCACACAATAACTTCTTCTTTCTTTATTTGCACTCATGATATACTTTACAATAACAAAATAGATGATAAATATTAACAAGTTTCAACTAATAAAGAAAGTAAATATATTTAGCATTTGGAATTTATGAAAACTTTGTTACCAAAAGACAATCAACAGTGGCCTAGGATAATGCACTCACCTCTCACCTCTGGGGTCTCAGGTTTGATTCTTGTATTTGGCAATAAAAATGATTATAGTTTGGAGGGCCTCTCAATCATTTGATTCAAGGGTTTTTCTTAGGGTTCTTGGATTTTCCTTTCTCCCCAAAACCCAGCACACTAAACTCCAATTACCGATCATCAGAAACGATTTTCAGACTTTTATAAATTGAGAAAAAATTTACACTTTTTAGTTTTTAATTTACCTCTTCTTGCTTGCAGACTGCATTTTCGGATTTGATGCCCTCTTTGATGTCCTCATCATCATCATCTTCATCCTCAAGAATGAGATCTTCACCTTCATCATTGGCATCATATCCACCATTAGTATCAACACCATTGCTTTCGTCTGTGACATCATCTGTGACATCATCTGTGACATCATCAGTGACATCATCTGTGACATCACCTATAAAAACCAAGATATACTCTTGAGTGACATCATCTTCATGATACATTCTTTGCTAACATCATCTTTACCATTGACATCATATCCTTTATTGTCAACCTTGATCCTCATCTCCACGACACATTCTTTCGTAACATCAGGGCTTATAATAACACGAGCCAGGCATTCGACAATCTCTGGCCAGAACTGGGACTTGTCTGGCTAAATCTTTTCCTTGTATGCCATTTTGACCAGTAATGTTTTGCCAGAAATAAGGTAGAGTATGTCCAAGCTAAAACTAATTTGGCCTGTGATCATGAGTGGTGACTGATTGACCATTATTTTAAGCCCTGAACATCATCATCGTCTTTATGTCCAGGCATACTACAAATTAATGCATGACTTGTACGAATCAATTCAACATACTGTATTACTAACCTGTAGTTTCATCAGTGATATCATCATCTGCTCCATCATCTGCTCCATCATCATCGTCTTCTTCTTCATTATTTACATCATCTATGAGAAACTGTGGATCAGAATCTTTCTCCTGTGACTCTTTGTCCACTAGGTTTTCCTCATTGTCTGCTTGTTCTTTAACATCTGTAAATATAGTGATACATATTTACATTTCTTTATCATTACGTGACCTGTTATCATAATCTAACATAGCTTTAATACAGAATTGATAGAACTGGTTACCGGTCTTTTTGAACCAAAGTCTTTTTGATCCAGGTCTTTTCAAACCAGGTCCAGGTTTTTTCGAACCACCTATGTACACTTTCGACCCACCTATATACACTTTCAATCCACCTATTATAACTAAAGCATATAACACGTCCTATATGCTGTGTACATAGTTAATGTAAAAGAGTATAGTTTAAAACGTTGTCTTGAGCACCGAATAAAAGATTACATACTATATATCACATATATGTCACCTAACTATGTGATGTGATTGGATGAAAACAATGGGCAGCCGTTTCAATGTTATGGCATGCCGTACCGTGTACGTACTGTAAGTATGTTCCCACTCATCAATAACCATTCTTATGGTAAGCCTTTTCAGTGTTATAGTATATATGCACCATATACAACTCATATGAAAAATGGGGTACAAGTAATTGAATGTGTAACTTTATGACTAGCCAACAATTTAAACTCAAATTAATGATTCTGATTAGTATGTACAGTACCTTCCACTGATAGCAGGTCAAGCTCTTCTTCAAGCAAGTCTAGGTTTTGCTCCAGTTTCTTTTCAGAATCTTCAACAATTGACTCTTCAATTTTAGTCTCCATAACCTCACTTTGTGATGAATCTGCTCCACTTTTGGCTGTAGAATCTACTTTGCTGAGAATTTCTCGTTTTTTTGAAGGTTCTCTTAAGCTCTGATCAAGAGCCTTGCTGGTTGCAGTCAATTTTGATGTTACTTTATCTTTGAAATGCTTTTCCATTGCCTTATTTTGATACCCTGTCCTAAAAAAGCACATACACATATTGAATCTTAGGGAACCAAGGATGGTGTAGTGGTAGTGCACTCCCCTCTCACCATTGGATTCTTAGACTTGGCAACGTGTGTGACTTTCAGTTTGTTAGATTTTTTTCTTTGATTCCACATGGTTTTCCTCCCCTTGCAAAACCCAATACGCTAATTTACAATTCAATCTGTGAGAATAACAGTGCCCTGACTTAGATTAGCCCAGAGGTTGTTTCAGGGTTTGATCT